CCAAGCTGTTTAGGGCTTTATATGTCAAAACAAGCAATTTGAATTGGACCTGGGCAGCAACTGGTAGCCAATGTAATTTAAACAGAGTCAGCTTGATGTGTACCCTAACGGCCCCACCACTCACCAGCCACACAGCTCAATTTTGCCAGGCTGTCCTCAAAGGCAGCCCCACGTACAGTGCATTGCAGTAATCTATACGATATTACCAGGGCATGTGTAACTGTCATGAGACTCTGCTCATCCAGGTATGGCCATAGCAGGTATAATTTTTTGCAGCTGAAGGAAGGGGCCCCTGGCTACCAAGTCCACCTGTACTTCCAGAGTTAGACTGGGGTCCAGGAGCACCCCCAGGCTGCAGACCCTGTCCCTTAAGGGGAGTGCAACCCCATTCAGGGCAGGGGAATTGCCCTCCAGCCTGTCCGGCAAAGTACTCACTAACAGCACTTCCGTCTTGTCTGGACTGAGTTTGAATTTATTAACCCTCATCCAGTCCTTTATCAGGTCTAGACATGAGTTCAGCACAGAAACCGCCTCAGCTGGATTGGTGGAAAATGAGAGGTAGAGCTGAGTGTCATCAGCATATTGCTGACTCCTCATCCCAAACTTCCTGATGGCCTCTCCCAGTGGTTTCATGTAGATGCTAAACAGCAGGGGGGGCAGTCTCAAGCCCTGAGGAACCCCATGACATAAACACCATGGGGCAGAGCAATTGTCCCCCAGCACCACCCTCTGGACATGGTCAGCCAGGAAGGAACGGAACCACTGTAAAGTGGTGCCACCAACTCCCAACCCAGCCATCCTATCCAGAAGGACACCATGGTCAATGGTGTTGAAAACCACTGAGAAGTCCAGGAGTATCAATAGGGTCACACTCCCCCTGTCTCTGGCAAAGGTCATTGTACAGGCCGACCAAGAAAGTCTGCATACCAAAGCCCAGTCTGAAACCCAACTGAAATGGATCCAGAAAAAAGTATGCGTACCAAAGCCTGGTCTGAAACCCAATTAAAATGGATCCAGAAAATCAGTTTCATCCAGCAGTGCCTGGAGTTGCCCAGCTACAACCTGCTACAACACCTTATCAAATAAGGAAGGTTCACCACTGGTTGGTAGTTAACCACCAGCCCTGTGTCAAGGTTAGGCTTTTTTAGGAGAGGGCGAATTACCGCCTGTGTCAAGGTTGTAGGGACCACTCAAAGAGGCGTTCACGGCCTCCTGGACCCAGGTGTGAACCTCCCGGGCAGATCTTTCAATTAGCCAAGATGGTCAAGGGTCTTTAAAACCAATAAGGAAGGTTCACCACTGGATGGTAGTTAACCACCAGCCCTGTGTCAAGGTTAGGCTTTTTTAGGAGAGGGCGAATTACCGCCTGTGTCAAGGTTGTAGGGACCACTCAAAGAGGCGTTCACGGCCTCCTGGACCCAGGTGTGAACCTCCCGGGCAGATCTTTCAATTAGCCAAGATGGTCAAGGGTCTTTAAAACAGTTGTAGAAAGAGCTGTAACACAGACACTATGCAGAACTGGAGAGACTCCTTCTGCAGACCGTGGAGAGCTGGTTTTGGTCAGTGCTGGCAATGCTGGGCTAAATGGACCAATGGTCTGACTCAGGAAGGCAGTTTCCTATGATCCTTTGGACCTATCCTAAGGATGTTACTCAATGGCAAGGGGAGGAACCCTGCAGTGGTAACTCCTATACAGACAAAAAGCAGTATAAAAAGAGATCTTAAACTGATTCAGTACCAGCTTCAATAATTTTTAAAATAAAAAACAGTAAAGTTTATATTTTCCATAAATATTAGAAGGTTTCATAGTTGCCCCTAACAGAAATATTTACTCCTAACAAAATGGCTGTTACATGTGACTAGGTCTTTCTAGACTTTCCTGTAGGCAGTAGTAAGACAGGCAGTAGTAAGACTGATAGTGGAGGGACAGTATCACCACCATCTCCTAACATCAAGCCTGAATACAAGCAATAAATATAATCACAGAATACATTGCTGTTATAGCAGAAAATGCTTTTCAAAAAGCCATGGGGCACATTCAAGTCTAATAAATATATTATGGTAAAAATCTTCACACCAAACACTTTTAAAAGTACCCCCCCCCCAGGTTCTTTTTCCTCTCCATTTTTCTCTTAGGCTGTGCATTAATCTTCTACAGCATTCAAACACATAACTCTTATCATCAGAAAAAGAATCACAATTGCTTGTAATATCTTCAGGGAATATGACATTAAGCAATGGTTATATATTGAGAAACAGAGCCCAGAAGAGCAGTTCGAAAGCAGAGACAGAGATTAAAGGCTATATAAACATCTACTAGGAATGCTTTAGGCATAGAAATTGGGCCAGAGATCCTATTCATGTCCTACCAGGGCTATCATATCAGGATTTTGCCAAAGGATTCATACATTGGCATATGTCTCAGATACACACCAGCATTTAAGCTTCCATTTGACCATCTTGTTCTCAGTGTGCATGCATGAGTGCACACAAGCAGACATACCTGTAAAACCGCAATGCTATTTCAGGCTGGTCAGAATAAAAGTGATTACTTCCAATACATGCAATGGCTTCTACATGAGTATTGTCTTGTTTTAAGACATCTTTGTAGTATTCTGCAGCTGAAGAAATATTGTTCATTTCCTACAAAGAGTTGAAAAATTGTAACATTGGAAAAGCATTTTATTACACTGAATCATTTATTACTTAAAAATAATAACAAGAAATGTAGAAATCAATAGTAAGTGGAGACCATAAAAAACACAAATTTGACTAATTCTAACTAATTTGAATAGATTCAACACTATGTTAGGGGTGGATTAAGCTGAGATGTTCTTAGACCGTAACTCCCAGAAGATGTAGCCACCTTAGCCACTAGTGAAAAATGATAGGAACTGCAGTCAAACATTACTTCAAGACCTACTTTTCCCCCGGCTCTGCACTATGCAACATAAAATCTTGTAAATGCTTCATGTCACCTACCCCTTTACCAGCAAAGAGCAAATGCAAAGAAGAGGATGTTCACTTGTGCATTAATGGTATATGATTATCAAAAGGCCATTTTAAATAGTGCCTGAGGTTTTGTTCAAGACTGCTCACCAGAAGTAACTCTATGCAATTGTGTTTATCTTGCTGTTTCTACATTCCCATAAGATAAACTTTATTATGTAATAAGAGAACCAGTTCCCTGTAGTAGGGAAACACTCTTATCTGACTGTATGCCCAATCCAGTCTGTCAATTGTGTCTGAAAGCTTTTATAACAGCTGCTGGAAGGCTTAGTTTTCAAAATTAAAGACTCTGGGAAGCTCATCTTACTGGGATTTTACTCCCTATTAAGTTAAACAACATAGGTCATGATGGTAAATGACAGCCTATTAATAAGATGCCAGTTGCATGTCTGGTCATATATCTGTTCACATGAATGTCACATGACCAGGCATGTGACAGGCACTTCAACAATTAGCTGTGATTTGCCACCATGACTTACCCAATTTTCCATATCCTACAGTAAAATCGCAATATGAATGTGGACAGTGTATCTAAATCATCATATAAAATCACTGCAAATTCTTTTAGAACATTAATAAAATGTTCACCTTAAAGTGAACTGTTACTCAAACTGAAGCACTGACATTTTTCAGTAATTCTTTCTGATATAGATCATTTTTAATGTTTAGTTGCTTTTAATTATATTTTAATTAGTGTCCAGTTTGTTTTTTAATGTTTAACTTATTATGCTTTAATACTATTCTTTTTTAATATTGTGAGCCTTGGGTCCCCTTATCAGGAGAAAGGTGGCCTATGAATTAAAGAAAAAAAAAACAATTAAAAATGAATTTCCAAATTATTCTCAGTGCCATTTGAAGTCAACACGGGTTCACAAAGAGTCCCACTGGAGTTTCCCACTGGACAAAGAAATTTGTTTATGTGCATCTGTGTCTGTGTTTCTGCTTGAGACAAATAAATGGTAAAGGTAGCCACAGGACCACAGTGTCAGTGGTTGAAAAGAGTTGGACTACAATTTTTGAAATCAAGGTTCTTCCTCCCACTTAGACATGAAAATCACTGATTTCATTGAGCCAGACCCTCTCTTTCAGTCTGATCTGCATCATGGGGTTGCTGTGAGAATAAAGGGGGAGGGGAGAGAAGCAGTATATGATGCTTTGATCTAACTGGGGGAAGGGCAAAATGCAAAGCTAACATATAAATTAATGACAACATATAATAGCTCCTCTCTTGGCTATACAAAAGTTTGCTTCCAAGCTTGTTTTAATGATATGCCAGTAGGAGATGAAAGGGCTGTCAGCAAAGTCCCTGGCCACATGAAGGAAATGTTTTCCAGTTATCTCCCAATCAGTTTGTTGCCTTTTTTTTTCACACAATGCACAGTCAAGATCAAGATATCTTCCTGGACAGCAGATAACCAGGAGGGTTGTGCTACAGTGGTGCCCCGCAAGATGACGTTAATTCGTTCAGCAAAAATCGCTGTTTAGCGAAATCATTGTCATGCGAAAACCGTTTCCCCACTGGAATGCATTGAAACCCATTTAATGTGTTCCAACGGGGAAAAATCCTCGTCGTTCTGCAAAGATCGCTCATAGGGCAGCCATTTTGCGAAGCGCCAATCAGCTGTAAAAATGGCTGTCCTGCGAAGCATCAGTCCCAAAAACATAGGGAAGCCATTTTGTGAAGCTGCTGATCAGCTGTAAAAATCGTTGTCTTCCGAAAAAATGGTACGCGAAGCACGGACCAAATCATTGTCAAGCGAAAATTGCCCATTGGAATAACTGTTTTGCGAATTGCTATAGCAATCGCAAAACCTCATTGTCATGTGGATTCGTTGTTTTGTGAGGTTGTCGTCTAGTGAGGTACCACTGTATATGTATACAAATGCAAAGAACTAATGATAAACTGTATAGCTGTCTATTAGGGCTTTAAAAGCAGGGTACTAATTTTTCCCCCGTTACTACATTAGCACATTACATTGAGAGATTCATATCAAAGTTTTTGAATACACAATGGTGTCCACAGCTTTGAGGCATAATTGTGTGGCACATTTCCTTTGTAACTATTGTTACAAATTGTTTAAACGCAAAACAGTTA